GGTGAGGGACCTGGATAAAGGCTAGGGGGGCGCTGGCCCAAAAAACGTTGAGAAACACTGAATCAAGAAGCTGGCTATGGACAGAGCTCTGTGTCCGAGCACATTCAGAGATTTTATTGTTTGGCATTTCCGTAAGGCCTGACATGGTAATTTACTTGTCCTGACTGGTTTAAATTGAGTCTTTATTCTTATGTGTTTTTATATGTGCTTTTATGAATACTGTACAGCACTTTGGTGCAGTTAGTGTCTGTTTTTAAAATGCTTTATAAATAAATTGAAGTATTTATAAAGTGATAAAATATGAAAAAGTGGTACATGTGGTGTTATGAGGCTCATTTGTCTCAGATTTGTTCTCATCTGCATTTCAGGTTCAGTCATCTGCGGAGGACGAAGAACATTTGGACCAGGAGATCCATAACACAGTGAGAAAAATAATCAGAGACTTTGTCATTTCATGGTACTCCACTGTGTCCACAGAGAGTGGTTTTGAATTAGAAGTTCAGGAAGCCATGATCTCTATGGCCATGAAGCTGAAACAGCGTGCCAAACACATTGACAGAAAGGTAAGAAGCTTTAGCAACATCAGGTACATTTTGATTTTGGAAATCATGCACACACAGTAGGACAAGAAACTTTTTGTATTTTCTCAGGAGCTGACGCAGAAGGTCCTGAACCTGGTGGGCGGCCACCTGCAGGACTACCTCATGGCCAAGGAGCTGGCCAAAGAAAAACAGCACAGTGAGAGCGAACAGTTGTGGAAAGCGTATTCCTCTATCGCCACTCCTCACGTTGCTATGAGCGACTATTCAGCAGAAATCAACTACATCCGAGCCGTTGTGGCTCTGCTGCTGCATGTTTTGGTGCCATCACCTCATTTAGAAACCAACACAGGACGATTTGTTGTTGGAGAGCTTATCACCTCTAATGTCTTTCTCCCTCTAGTGGCTAAACTGTCAGACCCTGACTGGTTAAACCTCCTGATCATAGAAATCCTCTGTAAGTCCAGCACACGGCTGGACTCTGTTGCATCCAAACTAGAGACTTGCAGCTTGCCATTACCTGCTGCTGAATCTGAGACTCCAACTCTACAGTGTGTAACTCAGGCGAACAGTGAGTCGCTTCAACAAGGAGCAGAGATGGAGCTGACTGATGACACGGAAGCTGCTCTACCTGAACTCCATGCCTACGATGCAACTGACACAGAGGAGGTGAAGTTCCCCCAGATTTTCTCTGGAGAAGAGGAAGCTTCTCGACCGTTTTTAAGATGCTACCTGAGAGGAAGAAAGTCCAACCCATTTTACCAAGAAACTGACTCTGATCCTGACTCTCCTTTGGCGGACTACAAACCCACCTCCACTGATTCTTTGCTCATGATAGGTCAAGTAGACACACTGTATAACAGATCCAAAAATTATATCACAACTGCTGAGGACAACAATAGTATAGACTTGGAAGAGGTTTCCCCAAGCCCAGTGGACGACTCCTATCCTAAGGTCTTGTTGAATTCAGTACTTGTGGACAGTCCTAATGACGGGTGCCTGTCATCACTCAGGGACACAGAGGTAACTTGCAGTACCAACAGCCTTCAGGATCTGAAAAGAGAAAACAGTTCCCCTGCAGCAAGTCAAAGCAGAGAGCTTGTCTTGGGTGTAGAGCCGACTGGATTGGGGAATCCTAGCGAGCTGATCATGGCTAGTCCACTGCAGGGCTGTTCTCCTGTGTCGACATTCAGTTTTGAGCCCCTTAGCAGTCCAGAAGGACCGATCATCATCCAAAACCTCCGCATCACTGGTACCATCACAGCCAGAGAACATCGTGGCACTGGCTCACACCCATACACACTTTATACCATCAAAGTAAGTGATGTTTCTTTTGTCAGTCTCAGAAGAAGTTCTCCCGGTAATATATTTTTAATATTGCTATCCAGTTGTTTGCAGACTGTTGTTAAACTGATGATCTACTTGGATTTTCACACACAACTATCTTTTGTCAGAGAGAATTATGCATGGGCAAAAGGGTGAAACTTGGTGAAACTCAAACTTGCTGGATATTTCTACAAACATAATGATCTTTACTTTAAAGTTATGTACATACAAAGTGCACTGTGTTACACACAGTCTAACCTGTACTAGAAATAAATAAAGCTGTTTTGGTTTCCAGTATGAGACGTCGGTGGGTTATGAGAACCTGGAAAGCATCCAAGAAGGCTCTGAGCTTATAGAGTCAATAGAGATAGGCTCAGAGAATCCAAACCCTATCCAGCCTGTGGCATATCACATGGTCAACAGAAGATACAGCGAGTTCCTTAACCTACAGACTCGACTTGAAGAAAAATCAGAACTGCGGAAATTCATCAAAGGTAGGTACAACTGCTTTTGTTCAGTTGGCTTTGTTTGTTTTACTCATTTAAAAAGTTTTGTCTGTAGAAACCCATTTACTTTAACACAGTGATTTCATACTGAACTAACTAAAAATAAAAACACATGTAATCTACAGACTAATTATTAATTTAAAGGTAATGATCCTTAAACAATCTCTAAAATTAGTAATTAAAGGAGCAGTGTAGCAGCTCCCCCAGCTCTTGAATTACTAATTCAAGGGTTTTTATTTTCGTTGAAGATCAACCATGATCATCACAGTCACCACAATAACCTCAGTCACCGTGAAAACTAAAACATATACAAACATTGGAATACAAAACATAAACTTACAATACAAACAAGAAGACAAAACGTGCCTCGCTGCTTTCACTGGGGAACACTAAGTGTTGATTTCTTTGTGCCAAACACACCTTGACAGTTGTTCAAGTCATTCATTGGTGCAATGATTCTGCCAGCTTATATAGGGCCTGCCCTCATTAGCTACGGCAGCCTGTGAGGTACATACAAACCCCCCCACCCCCAAACATTACAAAGTACAAATGCCTTTAAACAAAACATAAACCACCAACAGTACTAATCAAAACAGACAAACATCCATAAACTATCTGCGACATTCATAATTTAGAAAATTCACTTTGAATAATTTACTTTACAAATTTAAATAATTTAGACAATTTATTTTAAATAGTTCACTATCCATTACAAGCAATATGTAAAATCAACTTTTCTTGAGCTTTACATTATGTTATAATAATGTAAAACATCAACATCAAAAACATACCTGGAGTGCATTAATTCTTTCATGCGTGTTTTAGAAATCTAATCTCCATGGCAACCATTCAGCTGTGCAAAATGCCTGGCTGGACCTAGCTCCACCTTTGAGGAGTGGAGTCAAAGTCAAAGTCAAAGTCCACCTTCTCCTCACAGCTGCAGTTTTTACCTCACAGAGTAGCCCCCCCCCCCACCCCCAACTCTTCCACTCAGCTACTTCAGACTAACCAGCAGCAATTAGCAAACACCTCGTGGAACTGTGCATCCGCTGACCTACTTCTCAGAGCAGCACTTTTAAAATGTAGGTAAAGGTTTAATAGAGGAGTTATGATGTGATGACCTCCCAAAGGTGAAGTTTCAAAAACAGCAGAAGTTTTTAAAAAGACAGAGGCCAAATTTTACGCCACTAAATTACAACGTCAAATTTCTTTTAAGTCATGTTTGATTTACATAGCACTTTAATAACAACTGAAGTTAACATAGTTACTTGATTGTGCTGTAAAATAGCACTACATACCTGGAAAATGGATAATACTGCCCCTGTAATTATTGCAATTATTGTTTGGCACGACTGGGAACTTTAACCTCACCTTAATCTAAAAAGGGGGGAGGAAAAATGGGGATGGAGTAAAACAGAAAACAAAGGAAACCCAAAGTTTCAGAGCACCAGGATAATCTGTCAGTTTTCAGTACCAGATCATTGGCATAAGGATTGTGAAAGACACTTTAATTTTGGTCCTGCATATGGTGGTGTTCATCTTTTTTTGCGGGGGGGGGGAAAGGGGGCATGTTGGTTTCTGCAAATTCAATTATAGATTCAGTGAATCTCTCTCAGAACAGACACTATCTTAATTGGATGGCAGGTCACCTTTGGACCAGTGGTACGACTTTCTCTTAGGCACCTGAACTTTGGGAGGTTCCTCACTTTAAATTAAGAATCACACTTTAAATCTGGATAAGTTGATTTTCGTCTCATTTCCGATATGTGAAGAACAAGGAAGTCCTGCAGAGGTTCACTTAAAAATAGACCACTTAGCATAGTATACAGTGCCAACAAAAATATCAACTATCACATACATGCATATTCCAAATCAGCATCTGAGACACAATACTTATGAACTTATGTTTGAAGGCCATTACTTTGAGGCAAATTCTGAAGGGGGCTGGGCAGCAAATATGTTTTGCAGATGAAACTCTGACATTAAGATGTTTACTCCATACTATTATCTACTGTGTTACTGTCTTTGCTCTAAATAAAGTTGTATTCATATAACTTGTAGGTGTGAAAGGTCCAAAGAAAGTTTTTCCTGACATGCCATTTGGAAACATGGACAGTGACAAGATTGAGGCAAGGAAAGGACTTCTTGAAACCTTCTTAAAGGTCAGGGGTTAGTTTTTCTTTCTTTCTTTTTTTTTTTACCAAAAGACACTTTACCCCATTGTATCACACTAAATACTGTCTGTTTTGATCTCTGCAGCAACTGTGTTCCATCTCTGAAATAGCCAACAGTGAAGAGATGCAGGAGTTCCTTGCTCTCAACACAGATGCTAGGATTGCCTTTGTGAAGAAACCGTTCATTGTGTCTCGCATAGACAAGGTTGAAAGTTCAACATTTTACCAGGATTCTGTTGTCCACATGTTGTTAATTCACTATCCTGGGATAAGTTTTCAAGCATGTTTGAGAAAACTTGTCATATATTATGTTTTCAAATGACCTGCATGTGACCTACTGGCTACCCAAGGCTGAATGAATGGATGAATTAATTAATCCCACTTTTGATAAGCACACAGTATTTTGCTATGATGATTCAAATCTTCTTTCGCACAACTAGATCTAACCAGGGCACATCATTAGATAAATAAATTAGGTTTTTGAGAAGCTATTAGTAGAGCAGCCACTCCAGTGCAATTACCAGTATGTGCTTTTCCTTCTGTACCGCTGTTTGACGGGCACAGAGGATAACGATGTTCTGCAAATATCAAAAACATTCTGACTTATTTTACCAACATATTGTTGTGTAAAAATAATTTCTTCAATTGAAGATAATAATATTAAGTTTGACATGGCTTTAGGACCAGTGAAGGTGATTCCTAAAGGGGACAATGCATGTGGCAGATATTTTCCAGATTTTTGTGTTCTTAAACCTGGAATACAAATTAGGCAAATATGAATACTTGCAGATATCTACATAACACATGGGCCAATATTGCATAGGTATTATGAGTTATTCCAGAATATCTATAGAATATTACTTCAAGATGCAGTTAAAATTGCAGTATGTAACTTTTATTTAAAAAAAGCATTTTTTTTTTTTTTTTTTTTTTTTTTTTCCATATCTGTTACAGCTATATTACTGTGTCCTAAAAGTATAACATGAGACAAATAATCTGTAGGAAAGAAAATGTAGCTCCTGTGCCTCCTTCCTTTCAATCTACTCAGGAAGGAGGCAGCGTGGTTGTTTCCGTCAGAAATGACCATTCTGAGCCAGGAGGAGCGTCTTGGCGCTGTCAATCACTTTCTTGTATGCACTCCACACACCCACTTTTGTGTTGTTCTCTGCTAAGCTACAGCAGAGCCTGTTATAAATGCTAAGGCTAGTTAGCATAGCCGTCAATGATGGTGAGAGTATTTTTTTCACATATTATCTGTCTCATATTATTCTGTCACAGCATTGGCAGTTGTAAGAAATATGTAAAAAGCATTTTGCTTTTAAAAATTACCTACTGCATCTTTGATCTGAGTTAACACTTTTTTGCACAAGTAGCCCTTCCTGTCTGTTTTTATCCACTGCTTTAACTACTACTGCTGTTTTATTTCCGCCTCCTTTCAGCTGCTTCCTTCATTTATTTCCACACTGGATCGTCCACCTCCATCTGAGCATATCCCTACTGTCCTCCTCTGTCACACTTACCATCTGCATTTCTTTCTTCACAAAACATGAATCTGTTCTGTGGTTTTCAACTTCCTTTATCCATACATCTCCTACCCAACCTCTAGATCCATCTTTTTTGGATAGCACCAATGTCTCTAAATCATAAATTTCAACAAACTTTCACTTGTTTATTGTTTCTTGATTCTACTGACTATAGGCACTCTTCCACCTGCTTAATATTGTCACTATATGTTTAAGCACACACTGCATGATATGTTATTATGGTCAGACTTATGGACTAAACCAAATAACAATAGAATGAAAATATCCTTTATTGTCCCACCTTGAGAAAATTAAAGATGGAGCAATTTAAACATACAAAATAAGAGATTGTCCAGTAAGGGCAATTTTACAAGAGAAATAATAATATTGTTATTAAAAATAGTATATTCAGATTTATAGAAATGTGCAACTTAGTAGGGCTACTTAAAAATTGTACAAAATTTGTACATCCGTGCCTAGAAAACAGCAACAGGCTATTGACAAGAAGTAAAAACTGCAGATTTCAGCAGGAAATGAGGAAAATTGCAAATAACAGTTTGGATATAAACATTTGTGGATTTTTGTTGGGAGCAGTGACGGTTCTGGGGTGTAACGGCTGCTGGAAGGAAGGATTTATGATGACGCTCCTTAATGCGCTAGGATGCAGCACTTTGTCACTGATTAAAATAAGAGAAAACAGCTGAGGTCTAGAGAAACATCAGACTTTAAAATGTCTGGACAACTATTATTGAGATCAGCTTTAAAAGATTACTAAAAAATATTTGGCTGCTTGGAAGGAATTGACATATTTAGAGGTCAGTGTTTTTGATTAAATATGTTAAAGATTTGTATGCACATACATTGTTTGCTTCTTTCGCTGATTGATTACTATTTTCTTTTAGAACTTGAATGGTAACATTCCCCTGTTTTGTGGAAACTTTGATGGCATTATATTGTAACAAAACATAAAGAATATGAAGTGGGTGTTAGACTTAAATAAGTTGTGTGTAAACACCCGGAGCCAAAACCACAAGTACATATTATATTTCTTGGCTAAGTTAGATAAAATGATAATAAATAAGATATTTTACCTTCTTATATAAGGTAAAATATCTTATTTTACCTTATAAGATATTATAAGGTAAATGGTTAGCTTATAACCCTTTATAAGCTAACCCTTATAAAGGTTTAGCTTTCACACACAAATTCCATGTGTGTGAAATTTGCACTCAGATTTCACAAACTGTGTGCAAAGTTTTTACTGTAATTATACCTCAGACAGATCACATAGGAACAACTGACCAGTCAGAGGACATATGGTTTTCTTACCTTTATCTCAGCAGGTCCTGAAGGTTGGAGAAGAACCTTAAGATTCACTTGGACTATTTAAAGTAAAGGTTTTGTTACCAGAACCTTGATGTGATTCACCCAAATTTTCACAATTCCACTTGCTTTACATAGAACAAATACAAATATTTTTGACACGTTTGAATTTTATTTAAGTACATATATGCACCGTTTATCTATCTCACTGTTAGTATTTCCGTTATTTTCACCAAATGGCTTCTGAAAATCTTTTGTAGAATGGTAAATGTCCTGTAGATTTCCTGTGTCAGTGATGCCAAGTTTAGCCCATGATCTGTCAGGAGAATGCTTGGGGTTTGTCATCATGTGTTTTATGTTTGCACATGTAGATTGTGGTGAATGCTATTGTAGGCACCCTGAAGACAGCATTCCCTCACTCTGAACCTCAGAGCCCCACAGAGGACACCGAGTCCGAGGTGGATGGAGGGAAGATGGGTACAGACAAGAAGAACCGGTAGGAGACTTCTTTAGTTCTCCATACATTCTATCCAAGCTTTATTCAAGTAATTCATATTGAACATGCTATTTATTTATTTCCAATAAAACACATTTCAGGTTGTTTTTGTAACATGGCAAAAATGTTAAAAAGATTAGATATGTTTGCAAGTCACTGCATACCACATTACACAATCAGCTGTTGAAAGCAACAAACATCAACTTCAGAAATGTCCATTTTGCATAGTGTCTTTTTGCTAAACTTTCAAATTTATAAGATCTAACTTTTACTTATTTTATGGAGGGTGGGTCCCACCATCACTTACATTTAAAGATATTTGCAATAATTTTTAACTTAATAAAGCTTTGTATTTATAGTTTAACTAGTTTACTGTGAGTATTTCTAAACTCAAATAAGATTTTTTCTGAAGTTTGTGCTCATGTAGTTAACATCATCTTTACTGTTCCTAATCGTAGCTCACGTCTCAAACTCTCCAGCAAAGGCGTCCCTTTCATGAACGGCTCAGAAATTAGGCCTCCTGTGTCGTTTGTTTGGGACCAAACCAGCACAGTACGTGAACTTTGTAATCACAGTTCTGTAATTCACTTCTGTTGAAAACTTAGTGATGCTCTTTTTGAAACACATTTGGGCAAACTGAATGTTACATTTATATAATTTCCCCCTCAATGTAGCAAAGGTGGGATTTGTTTTCTCATGTCATGGTTCTGCTGTCTCCTTCAGGTGTTTAATGGCATGACTCTGGTGGATTTACAAGCCTTCATTACTGAGGAGGAAAAGTCATCGCTGAAGGAGGCAGAGATGGAGGGAGGTCCAGTGTTAGGGCAGTGGGCAGGCTGCCGGGGTCACGGTGTGAGAGCAAAGCACGGTAAGAAAGTCTCGCTACTCTAGGTTTTTCTTCATCTTTTAAAACAACGCTGACATTATAAAGACTGAAGGAAAGATGAAGCAGCAGTGTTGTAAACAAAGAAAAAAAGCTTCGTATACACTTACTCTTTCCATTGGATTTGAAGAGATTGGTAGCGGTTAGGTGTTCCCAACAATCTGAGAAGGGTTGTAAGAGCTTTATTGCACCACCTTTGTAAGTGGAAAACATTTGGGACACAGACTGTAGAATCTTCAATTTGCTGATTTTAATAGCTTAAGGCCATGGTCTCCCAAACAAGTTTAGCTTCTGGACAGGGATCCCCTTTTACAAACCTGCAGACAATGCGACAAAATATTTAAAGACACATTGAATTTTTTATTTATTTTTTTCCTCACTTTTATTTACTGTTCAATCATTATTACATTCATGTAGCAAGGCTGCCTCATACCTTTTAATTTTAGTTGGGTGGTGGAAAATTTTATCAAGTAATATATTATGACTTTATAAATCTGATGTTTATATCATAATATGTTACCACAATCCCCTCTTTTGATAATAAAATTAGTAATATTTGTATATTAATCCCATCAAATTGTATTTCATCTCCACAGTGTCCTCCACCGCAGGGCTCCTGGATGGTTCCTTTGATCTATTTTCCTGTCAGAAACTTTCCCATTTTGCACTTGCTACGCTAGCTTAAGCAACAAAACGACTTTATAAATGTGACTGGCAGCCAATCAGAAAGATGAGCATGGCAAATAACATTTTCCTGAATTGCCCCGCAATGGGACAATAAAGTCTATTTATATCTTCTGTTTCCATCTACAATTAGTCATTTTAACTTAAAATTTTATAATTCAAAGTCAGATTACATTTATATGTAAATGAAAAAGAAATTAATGATTTAAAATTTTATTCGATTCCTTTTTTCTATGATTATTTTTTATCATCTTCCCTGACTCGCCCACCTAAGAGTCTGACCGTTATTACACTGAAACATCTGACAGAAACAAAACTAGCATTTGTTGGTAAAGTTTGGAATCCTGCAGCAGCAGAAGAAATGGGGAGGGACTAGTGGTGAGGAGGCCAAAAGAGAAGTGGAAGTGGAAATTTTCCCTTTTCAGTTGCGTTTGACAGCCTTAGTTTCTTCATAATTCATTAAATGTATAGTTGCAATCTAAAGACTGTTTTATCAATGCAAGTGAAAACAAAACAATGCATAGGATTTTTAAAAGTTGAGTACTGGTCCTGGTTCCTTCAGTTAGAAACATATAAGGTGATTATTTTTGTTGTAAACCCTGGGCTAATTTTGCCAACTGTTTCAGACCTTTATAATTTTATCTTCACAGTACATCCACCCATCTGTTTGTCCATCCTGGGTCTTCTTCTGAGCTGGTGATTTTGAACTTTTTTGTGTGTGTTATTCTGGAATTGCATTTGGGGTCCAGGTTTGTGGAGGAATTTTACTGTCATAAGTCCTGTTTCAGTCTGAAGGAAGGACTTCATGCCTTTGTTCTCACAACTTGTAATCCTCGTACTCAAAACTTCTGCTCTCTTTCAAATATTCACTGTGTTCTCTCAAACCTTTCTCCTAACCCTATAATGAGACAGTTATCTCATTTAGTTATCTCCCTAATTTATAGGTAGGGAAATAACTAACTGTAATGAGATAGTTATCTCGTTATGAGATAAATTGAGTCGGCTCCCTGGCCTTCTAGACATCATCAGTCATCAGCAAAAGATTAATTGATAAAGAATTTTTTTGATATTTAAATTTTTTTTTGTAGTTTTTCAGTTTTTATAATCCCAACAATTAACCCGTAATATCAGAAAGACAGCTAAAGAGCCATTTCTAGCTGTGAAAAGGCAGATTATTTTTACAATCATTGTACTGCTCGATTCTTATAAATGATTTGGTTGGGGGTGCGCTTTCTGTTTTGAGTGAGTGAACTCGGCTGTACCGATACATACAACTTGTAACTTTTTGTGTATGAAAGCACTATAATTGCCATGGAGATCTGGTATGGTCGATATGAGTATGCAAAATAAAATGAATGTGTATTCATTTATCCATGTTTTCTGCTGACTACTAAGACAGAGAAAGCTACTTCAAGTCAAAGAGGATAACCACCTGTTACTAATGCTCTCTCTTCTCTAACCTTGCACTGCACCATTACTATATCTCATTATTTCAGAAAGCACTTTTAATATGAAATGGTAAAGTCATAATTATGAGGGATCTACTATTTAGAGTTTCATTGGAGTGTATTGAGCTGAAAGGTTCAAATGTCTTCCTGAATGAGCATCTCACCAAGAACATTGCGGATATTGCCAGAAAAGTTAGACAATTGAGGAAGCAAAATAACATTCAGAGCACTTGCACAGCAAAATGCAAAGTATTTATAAAATTATTAGGAACACCCAAAGAATCCAAAGTGTTAATGATCAGATCCTTAGAGGAACTGGACAAATATGTTTAAATGTCGTTTCGTGACAAAGGAGGTAACACAGTCACACAGGAACATAATCATGAATATAGCTGATAGAACTGAACTAAGTCGGAACAATAATTATAACAATAATAATCAATTAGAATTGTCACCCTTTGAGTATAAACCAAATTCTGAAATAAAAATAGAAATAAATGGAGTAAATATTGTAAGGGTTTAGGAAGGCAAGTTTCTTAGAGTTATTATTGATGATGACGTAAATTGTAAACCGCATATTCGATATATCCAAAAGAAAATATTAAAGATATATTGTACAAAGCCAAGCAGTTGGTTGGAAAGAAAGCATTGCACATTCTTTACTGTTCTTTACTGCCTCAATTACTGTGCAGAGATAAGGGCAATAAGTATGAAAATTCATGACAATCATGAGTTAAACTGCAAAACGGAGCAATAAGAATTATCGGTAACACTTTATTTGAAGGTGTATGCATAAGACTGACATGACACTGGCATATTTATGACTGTTGTCATTAAGTGTCATTCGGTAAATCATGACACTTTTAATGCAAAGTTGACATTATTCAAAACGTCTTTGTTATGACAACTTGTCATTAACCAAGAATCATCTGTCACAAATGTCATAATAGTTATCAAAATTTAAAATGTGTATTATTACATTACTGTCATTTGTTGTTAGCGTTAACTGTGACAGTTACAAGGTCATTATAATTGTATATGTTCCCTTAAATATCGGACTAGTTACGGATGTCATTAAACATTATTACACTGTCAAAAGCTTTAACAACATAGTCATTCATATGTCCCCTTACCTGAAATAAAGTAGAACATGTAGGACCAATAATAAAGATTTTATAAAGTTTTATTACACTGTCAAATGATTTATTAATAGACCCATTAATAGTTCCTCTTATATCAAGTGGAACAAGTAATTCCACTTATGAAGATGTCATAAATGTTATTACAGTGTCAAATACTTTAATAACAGTCAATGTTAACCCTAACCTCAAGTAAAGAGGATGAAGGAGGATCCTTGTCCCGTCTGAAATCCACCACCATCTTCTAGGTCTTCTTCACACCTGTGCACCAGGTGTTCCACCTCTTCTCTGTAGTTGGACTCATCACTGTTCATGATGCGTCCCACTACTGCTGTGTTGTCAGCAAACTTCACTATATGACAGGGGGGGGTGTCTTGCCGAGCAGTCATACATCAGCAGAGTGATGAGGAGGGGGCTCAGCACGCAGCCCTGCGGCGAGCCAATGCTGAGGGTGATGGAGGAGGAGACGGTGTTGTGGATCCTGACAGTCTGAGGTCTGTTGGTCAGGAGGTCCAGAATTAAATCCCCCAGTGTGGGACTCAGTCCAAGAAAGGAGATTTAAGGCTGTAGTGCGGTAGTCATTTAGGCTTCAGTTATTCCGCTGGGAATAACTGAAGAGCATTAATGGAAGACCTTCCATCACTGTGGAGCACTTGAGGACAGGGACGATAGTGGCGGTCTTTAAGCACGTGGGCACAGATGCCAATAACAGTGAGGTGTTGAAGATGTCTGCCAACATCTCAGACAGCTGATGTGCACAGTCCCTCAGTACTCGCCCTGGGATGTTGTCGGGGCTTGCAGCCTTACGAGGGTTGACTTCCTGGAAGGACTTCCTCACATCTTCTGATGTGAGGAAGTCCTTCTGCAATCACACAGAGAGGTGAGTCACCAAGCAGTGGTATAAATCTGGTGCTGAGGGGTTTGTTAAGCTCTATGGCCTCTTTGATGATCCTATCGACTGAATGCAGCATCCCTAGCTTTCAGCAGAGCTGTCACCTCAGCATTCAGCCAGGGTTTCTGGTTTGGATAACGGGTTACTGTCTTGGTGATGGTGACATCATCAGCACACTTGGAGATGAATCCCAGAACAGAGGAGGTGTATTCCTCTCCATCTCTCCCTTATAAGTGCACTGTGTGCAGTGAAAACAGTCCTGTAGCACAGAGGCTGCATTCCTCGGCCACACAATGACTGTCTTCTTCGTTGGCCTTATCCATCTCATTAGTGAACAATAAGCTGGTGCCAGCAGGATGTAGATGTGGTCGGAGGGGGGGCAAGGAAGAGCTTTGTATGCACAGTGAATGTTTGTGTACACACAGTCCAGAGTGTTGTGTCCCCATGTAGGAAAGGTGACATGCTGGTAAAAACTGGACAGTGTTCATCAGTTTCATGTGATTAAAGTGCTCCTCAACCACGTCTCCAGATGCTTTATCTGAATCAGTGCCTAAATCAGCCATATATGAATTAAAATATTTCTGGGAGCTGGAGAAGCTGCTGCACTTTTGTCTGCTGCCATTTTTGTGATGAATTCGTAAGCATGCAGGGAGGTTTGCAAGTGGAGATTTGATTGTAGCACAGAGAATTTTTGAATGTGAGGAGAAAGGTTTGAGAAAACACAGTGAATATTTGAAAGAGAAGTTTTGAGTACAAGCATTAAAAATTTTGAGAACAAAGACATAAAATTCTCCTTTCAGACTGAAAATGTGTGCCTTCGATTTATGGCAGTAAAATTATGCCATACAAGTTGCTCAAAGGGTTTGGTTGATTTGACTCAATGCAATATGAAAGAGAAGCACAGCAACTGAAAACTGAACAAAAATAATTTTGGCCCCCAAAGGAACCGAGTCTGCTGGATGATCATCTGTGAAAACAACCTGACTATTCTATTGAAAGTGCTGCACAATTGTTGGTATCCAGTTGACAGGGCAGGGCTGATGGTGACTCTTAAGGCAGGGTGTGTATGAATGAATGAATGACTGATTGTAGTGTGAAGTGCTTTGGAGTCCTCAGACTTGATCAGTCCTTTTTACAAATGCAGGATATTTGCATAGCTGTGTTTACATTATAGCCATTTACCATTAATCTCTTGACTCAAATGCCCAACATGCATAAAAAAGAGACACTTTTTTGTGTTGACTACTCTCTTCTGGCCTCTTGCTAAGTTTAGGACTGATTTATTTTTCAGTCTTTGCATTGTTTGGCTCCTGAAAACATTCCTAATTCTTTTGCCCTTATTCCAGTTCCAGGTCTCTTAAATCTTCCCTAATCTTGACTGGTTATTATGAGACTGTGCCTCTGACACTACTGACACTTTAAATCAAACTCAAGGCAAATATATATTTTCACATTCCAATTTCAGATGTCCTTTAGCAATGTCAATTTAAACATATATATACACTGCTCAAAAAAATAAAGGGAACACTCAAATAACACATCCTAGATCTGAATGAATGAAATATTCTCATTGAATACTTTGTTCTGTACAAAGTTGAATGTGCTGACAACAAAATCACACAAAAATCATCAATGGAAATCATATTTATTAACCAATGGAGGCCTGGATTTGGAGCCACACACAAAATTAAAGTGAAATGTTCCCTTTATTTTTTTGAGCACTATATATATATATATATATATATATATGAATATTTTAACATAAGAACCAACTAACCAGCACCAACAGGAGTTTGTGAAAAATCTAGTTTTCTTGACAAAAAACTTTTCTTTCTGATCCATATCTATAAAATGTGAGATTTGTGAATATGCTGCTGAAGTTCCACAAGTACACCACAACCAATTTAAAACTGTTATCAATATAATTTTGTAACTTTGAGGAAAAAAATCCTTAAAAATGTTTTTGCCATATTTTCTGGCATTTAGCACAGTGGTCCCCAACCCCCGGTCCGTGGACCAATTGGTACCGGGCCGCGCAAGAAATAATTAAATATTTCAGTTTTATGTTTTATTTGAGTCTGGAGGATCTTTTATTTTGAAAATCCTGTAACCGGATTCTCTGTTATTTGCGCGCCAACACTGAGCCCACAAGCAGCAAAATGAGTAAGAAACAGATCAGATGTCTTTGGAAATTTTCTTTGCAAAGGGGAAAAGGCTCAGAGAAGAGACAGGAGGATGGATTTATCCTGGACCGGTAGGTGAGTCAAACATTAAGCCCCTCTGTGTAACATCCGGCGACCGGCTGCTAATGAGGCAATGAAGCTTCAAACTGCTTTGCCAAGTAGAGACCGAGCACGCTGTGGATATAAGCAACACTTCGGGTGTCATTGTCTCCATCAATCCCAGATGGTACCGTCTCGTTGCAGAGAAACAAGCTCAGGGCTCCGTTAGTCTTTATCATGAGTTAAAATTTTCACGAAAGTAAAATGCTCGTTTTTGTGGCGCATCTGTATCTTATTTTGAAGGGATATGTAAATGTTACCATAGCGACCAGAGTCAGAGCGTTTGGGCAGTGAGAGGAGATGAGTAGAGCTTGTGAGTCTTAAGTCTGGTTTAGACGGCAAGACTTAAGGATTGTCGATTCTCCAAACCTCTGTGACCACAGAGCTGATAAAAGTACAACAGGTTCGATCGGTTCGTGTGTCCAAGGCAGGAGGAACACACCACACGAGCATCCCGATTCCAGAGGATAATCCAGTAAAACCCCCAACATAGCGGGAATTTAGAATAACCAAACACGGATGACGATGTAGAAGCAATAGTGATAGTTTGTGGAGTCATTTTAAGAGATAAAAGAAACAAAAAGAAAAGGCGGTGATAAAAGACAGCGGGAGCAGCCGCTCTATTTGCTGCACTATGATTTGGAGGTGACTATGTTTTTTCATAGTTAACATTTTTAACTGAATAAACATAATAATGACCTTTAGATTTAATAATTAACATTTCCACATATCATCTCCGATATCCACCGGACTCACAGTTGCGTAATACGTCAGCTGTTTGGGATTCCCCTCTGTTCTGACGTCACCGCGCTTTCTGATTGGCTACCTGTCACATTCAACAGGTTGTGTTCTCGTTCCCAGTCAGGGTAAAACCCCACAGGCTGCGATAAAAAGGCCAAGACAACCCAAATAGGGCATATTCAGGATTTAGCGGGAACACCAACATGCAGAAGGTTTATCTGACGGTTCACCCCCCCAACCCTTCCTCTCCTCCCGGGCCACAGCAAATTTTCTAAGTCTTGACCGGTCCGTGGTAATAAAAAGGTTGGGGACCACTGGTTTAGCAAACAGAAATAATTTTAATTCTAACTAGGCTAAATCAAGAAGTGTTTGGTCTAATATAACTTCAGACAGTGAAAAAAAAAAAGTTAGTATCTTTTTATTCGGTGTGTGTAAATATCTTATTTCAACTGTATATTAAGTGGAGGATCATGGCAACAACCAACATGTAAAAAAGCACGCTTTTTAGCCATTTACTTTTCTTGTAAGGAGTTATTCTGATCACTTTGCATGATATAGCATCACCAGTGGGAACTGTCGAAATGATACAAATAACTGTTATTAGAAAAACTGAAGCTTCAGTTTTCAAAACTCTAAATTTGTTTGATTATCAAAACCTTCATTCATCCCCATTGATTAACACACCCTGCAATGTTAAAGGTTAACCACATGAGGGCAGTGTAAATAAATCTACTGGTTGGTTGTATGCTCATCAATCTGTTCATCTGTCATAATCAGACATTCTAGATAACACTGTAGCGGAATATCATGCTTGTTTTTCTCCATTAAATCTTCAGCCAGTCTCATGTTTTACCATGTTGAGTCAGCATACTGAAACTGGTTTTTGTGGGTGTTTTTTTTTTTTCTTCTGCCGATTCGAAGGGCAGAACTTCGACTCGGCGGGAAATTTAATGCTTTTGATTGTTTATTCAATGTTGCATGACTCTGTGTTTTTGTGTTTAATGATGTAAAGCACTTTGAAATGCCTTGCTGCTGAAATGTGCTATACAATAAAATTTGATTTGATTTTGATTCAGACTCAGCAGGTGAAATGTCCCAGGCCAAGGTGGCTCTGAACATCCTGTGTCTTCTGATGAAGGAGCAGTGGAGCTGGCTATGTTCAAAAAACATCCAGAGGACTGTCAGGCTGCTGTTTGGAACCCTCATTAACAGGTGATTACTATTTAACACTAGAATAGAATAGCATAGATCAGGGGTGTCCAAAGTGGGTCCTGGAGGTCTGGCATCCTGCATGTTTTAGGTCTCTCCCTGGTTTAACCCACCTGAATCAAATGATGGTTCATTAGACGCCTAAGAAAAACACTGACATGCTGAAAAGGTCGTTACCACCACCAGGGAGAGAACTAAACATGCAGGATGCCGGGCCTCCAGGACCCAGTTTGGGCACCCTGGCATAGAACATTTGGACATAAAAGTAATATAAAAACCCAATTAAACAGGAGAGGTGAAGAAGTTTTATCAGACCACCTCCCCTATGATATTATAGAATCAATATCAAGTAAGAATAAAAAAGTGAAATACAACACCTAATCTATAAGAAGCAATCAAAATCACGTTATTTCAAATGAACATAATTTTCACTGCTGTGATGCCATAGCAAGATGCTGCAAGAGTGAGACTAAATAATTTCCCATCTGCCTATCTTCTGCAAAGGATGCAGACATTCTTGGCAGCAGAAGTCTTGGAAATAAAACTCAGTGCCTGTTGGAACTATGTTATTATGACTTATCAAAGCTAAATTTCAGTTTTACACTCAGTCTTACAGTAGTTTTACACTGGTCTCAATAGTGTGTAGATTTATAACTTTAACTTGGATGGTTTTGTTTTGTATATAAAAATTGTAGATCACAGATGTATAAAAAGAAGATAATCTGTATTAAAAAATGGGAGTATTACTGTGTTTAGTAAAGTATTTACATGTTAAAGTCTGATCCCAGCAGATATAACATCACCATGATGTACATCATTGGGTGAGGAAGAGCTCGCTATGATAAGAATGTTCAATCTTATCTTAGGAAAATAATTATATTTCTATGTAGCCAGTGCAGACATCAATCAGTCCAGCTGTGAGGAAATGATAACATAAAGCTGAATATTGGTGAATCAAAAAACATCTTTTGTGGGTAAAATCTTAAAGAAATTAATTTTGTGAAACACCAAAGTTGCCATGTCTATTACTACTTAGGGTTATTGCTCATGTAATTGGCGCATGTGTATTGGGAAGAAGTGTACGTAATTCAGTGGAGTGCTGTTATGGTGTGGTGTATGTTACTGTTGTCGTCATGTCAGTCTCATTTTTCCATCTGTAAGTATCATGTATTGATGATTAATGACAATATTCTGCCTAAATAGTCAAACCAGAGCAACAGAAGTATACAGTTTGAAAACAGGTTACATAACGCTGTGGTATGCAATTTTTACAAACAGTGATATTTTTTTTACATATTTGTTAAAACTATCACTGTGATGACAGTAGAATATGAAACAATTTGTGAAAAAAAAAAAATCAAGTTCCACTGTGTTCTCCCTGATGTATTTCTGCCATCTGCAGAAATATACTACTGGGTCAGAAACAATCAGAGCCAGGAGGAGGGGCTTGGTGCTGTTAATATGCTTGCGCTTTGTGTAGGTGCTAGAGTAACCTCAATAATTTGTTATCAGGTACTCACTCAGTTCAAACCAGTCCCACGTTGTGTGAAAATGGGGCCAGGAGACAGCATGAGATGAAACGTTGTTTATCTGTACGGAACAGAATATAGACTGATCAGGACTTAGGTTCATCATAGCGGGTACAGCACCTTACGAGGAATAGCATTTCATGTTGGCGTCACGCTAACAGAACGTTTTACCAGAGTGTTAAACTCAGTGAACCTACCTTGCGCTCATCTCTCATGAACTGGCAACTGCGTTCACTATATTTATTACTGCCAACCACCACGAGGGGGTGCTGTTTCACCCATTACACCTGAACCAAATCTTGGAAGTAATGACAAGTAGAATTCTATACAATATTAACTATTACACTCCTTTCTGCTGAATTCCACTTGCCCCATTACAAAAAGCAAAACAAAACAACAACAGAAAAAGCAAGAAAGAGGAAAAAAAGTATAGTAACACCACAGGTACAAACACATAAAATGGAGTAAGACCACTATTCAAATCCACAGGAAGCCAGTACACAACCACTGTTTCCAAAGTCGTTTGTGAGGTACAATCACATCAAATTTACAGTCCCTTAGACTATCCCATGAGGATCAGTATGAGAAAAGGTTGGCCAGACCCCACCTACATACATAGGGAAAAAAATATGCCCATTTACATATTTTGTTAATATGTAACTACATATCAAAACTGTTACAAAACCTCAAGGTCAAAATTTAAACAAATAAAACTGTAGTTTTATAACTACAAACTCATCAAACTAATGCTGTCCTTTGGTGCATCATTCCAATATGTTTAGTCACTGGTCTCAAAAACCGCCCAGCTCTAGATCTATGGTCAGTCGCACCGTCAACTATTGTCACTGTAGCAGCACTAGTAGCAGGCATGTCAGTGGGAGTGTCAGTAGCAGGAGCCAAAAATGACTACTGAGCAACCGGAGTCTGCTGAACTGTTGTCCATCAAAGCAGCTCCATCAGAGGGTTGTAACTGATCAAGGACCGGCTGGGCTAGAGGCAACACCCTGCCCTCTGATGGGACATTAGTTGGTTCTGTGGCATGGTGCCCTCCACCTGCTCAGCATCCTCCACATCTGTCTCACTGCCTGCTCCTATAGGTAGGTCAGATACACACACTCTCATTCTAAACTCTGCTGAGTCAGAAATAAAATCACTGATGCTGACCTCCCAACACTTAGGTCAAGTGAACTTGATGTTGGAGACACTACAACCTCTTCTTGGTCATCAGGATCATCCTCAGGTAGAGGGAAAGTTTATCGGCATTATCAGATTGCGGTGGACCACTTTTACTTGGCCTGTAGTGGGATTCTGGATCCTGAAGGTGTGGCTCTCATCATCCTTTCCAACCACCACATACACCATGCTGTCCCAGTGGTCAGCAATTTTCCTTTTTCCATGTTCTCCTTTGTTGCCCAGCAGCACTCTGTCGTTCACCTCCACCAGTACACCACGTACTGTCCGGTTGTATAGCTCGGTGTGATGCTGGAGCTGTTTAGTTGCTGTTGACTGGGCTACGGCCATAGCTTCTCTCATGTCCTTTTGCAGGGTCTCAACATAGCAATCATAATCCACTACCTCCAGATCACTGAGCACTGAACCGAAGATGACGTCCACCAGAAGATGTGGCACCTTCCCAAACATGAGCACGAATGGTGCTCATCTTGTCGTTTCATGCACTGTACAATTGTAGGCAAATGTCAGAGATGTCAGGTCCTTGGGCCAACGATGTTTAGCTCTTGGTGGCAGTGCTCGAATCATGTTGCCTAGAGTTCGGTTCATTCTTTCACATAAGCCATTCCCCTTAGGG